ATCTATACTCAACAGTTTGTAATCGATACAGTTGTTCTCTCATTAACATTAACATCTGTTTATCATTAATACAATGAGCAATATTGCTTTGTGGAATTTTGATAATCACTTAACAGAGTTCTTCCTGTGCAGAGTGGTTGTAGTACAAGAAATGAAACAATACATACAAAATTCATAAATTATGTAAAAATACTATTGATGTGCTACTTATTTATTCTATTTCTACAACATACTATACCTGATGATAATGATGACATATCAGAAAGCGAATTTGATGGATTTTTAGCTGCACCATTAGCTAGTTATTTTAGGAAAGCAAATAATTTATAAACCTTTTTAAACAAAATTAATAAATAGAGATTTTACTTATTGGATAATGCTGTTGCAACTTTTGAATTCTCGTTTATGTTGGCAATAGTTTTTCGTTCGCTTGAAAACATGAAAATTACTGTGAGATTCGGAAATTTTAAAAGATATTTTGCCTAACTTTCGCAAAATTTTAACTTAACGTCTTAACGAGATCTTTAAACTAATATCGCCAGGAAAAGGGATTGAATGTCATCCTTATCGTCAACAACCGCTAAATGTTTATAATACTCCTTTGAAAACGTCAACATTCACACATACAAACATGGTTGATCTAATGTTGCATGTATCAAAGAGTACAGTTGACATTTGATTTCACCGTCTTCTTATTGTTCCAGGAACACCTATGACTCTGCATTTGCAAAAAGCAATCTTCGTCTATGACAACACTTAATCACGTGACAATTTTCCCAGGACGATCTGAATATATAAGACCGATACACCCCTTTCTGGCAGTCTCTCTACGAACGGTACATCTTGTGGACAGTCGCATAGTAACTCACGAACTTTATATTAGTTGGGCAGTATCTTTTAATTCGTGTAAAAAATTCCAAGAAAGGATACTTGTTCAAATCTCAAATGTTTTTTTTTTAGACTCTTTCCACCCTGTGGGCACTAAGAGGGCCTCTATATGCAAGCCATTATGGGTTCGGCAAGGCCCACAATGGGGCTGCTGGATGGTGGGGGATGGGACATATCCGAACGGGCCACCTTCCGAAAAATTCCTGGGGATTTTTCGACTTGTTCGGATTCGAACCTCAGAGTGGTAGGCTGCAACCTTGACCGCTCGGCCATCTGGCCGAAAATCTCAGATGTAATAGGAAAGAGGTTTGATATCGAAACCACTTCTCTTGGCCCCTGTAAACTGTACACGAAAGTTAGGAATCTAGTTAATGTACGAGATAGTTCAGTTTATAAAGGTTATGTCTGAATTTTTTTTATGAAAGTAATTGATTGTTATTCATTAAATTCTTTCATTTTAATGAATAACATTCAAAATATCTTGTTAATGGTATCTGAAACCCGTATATCGCATGTGCCTTACCAACGACCCCTTTCACTCTCTTCCACTCCACCTGACAAACTGATCATGATCTCACAGGATTAAGGAAAACCGAAACGCGCCATTTACTAACACAGTGAGCAGTTTTTATTAAACTGTTGCCAGTGAAGAGGTGAGATCTCGGCCTTACTCCCAGTTATTCAAACTACGATAATTTAGGAACTTTACCTGACAAATATAACTAACAATTTGGAAAATTCAAAGGTTAAGCATCCCATGTTAGTTGTTATTTTCTACTGAAAATTTCAACTTTTCTATCTTTAATTATACTGTATAAACATATTTCATAATCAGAAAAAGTTCATGAAACTTCAAGTCACATATTCGTGATTTTGTTGAGAGTTAAAATGAGTGACAACGTATTTTTAAACAAAATATGGTTTTCTACATTTTATAATAAAAAACGTATTTCAGATAATGGAATAAATGTAATATCATTTGGTCATTATACCTTTTAGTTTTTACAGATGCTTTGAAATCATTATTTTTTAATGTGGATATTTAAGAATATACAAAAAAAAACAAAATTCTGAAACTTACTTAATACATAGTGTTTGCAATAAAACATCCTTGTCTAAAACCGGCTGGAAATAAAGCAGCATTGTTAGAATTACCACAGAATAAAAGATGTGAATGTAAATATTTTGTAGTATATAATAAGATAACAATACCATTGTGAAATAAAAATTATATAAAGTGTAATTTTATTAATTAAAATAAATAAATATTTTTAGAAATTGTAATAAAAAACGTTAATTATTGTTGTACTTTTGTAAAATCACTATTGTATCCTCTATTTTATGAAAAATTAAATATACTGGAAAAAGAGAAATTCAAAGAAGAAAATTTAAAAATATACCCCAAAGTGCATCGAATCACTACTACTTATATTATTCAAAAACAGTGACAACAAAATACAAGTTTCTCCCATTTAATTTGTTGTGATACAAAAAGAATAGAAAAACCAAAATCAATATAGGGTGAATAGTTCTGTATTAAATTTCTGTTTACAAAATATTGCAATTTTATACAGTAGATCCCTCTATAAAACCGTTTCCTATAGTTATGATTCCTATAAAAATTGTGGCAGTATCCGTAAACAACGGTAAAAATAACTCCTATAATACGTAAAACGTCATCGGGCAGCCGAACTACTTTCCTGCCGTCCGTAGCGCCACGCTACGGACGTTTAGGCGGATAAATTGAGTTTAGTATCGTCTGTTCATATAATTATATATAAATTAGGTACTGTACATATAATTATATATTAATTATATATAAATTAGGTACTGTATATATAATTATATATTAACTTAATTTATTGTAACTTTATTATAATTAAATATATATTTTTCGCCGTCTAGCGTCACGCTACGGCGAGTTAGGCGACCTATCGTCTGTCCAGTACTGTAATTTTATACATTTCTTGTGAAAGAAACATTTCTTATTTAACGGCCATAAAAATTATTTATATTAAGGATGTCTCCAAAGGTCAACGAAGTTTTCGCAGAAAAATAATATCAGAAATCGCGGCCGCGGTTTGATGCGCTGTTCCGCGACGAAACCAAGCTTTAGCAACGGGCGTAGTCGAACGGTACACACTCGGTAAGTAATCCTACAATTTTTTGTTTATAACGTAGTTTATACTGATTATTTTCAAAAAAATATAAGTATTTTGGAAATGTTGAGTCGAATTAGTCTAGAATCGATTAATTTTATGAAAGAAAACCTTTCAAACAGCCATAGTCCGTAAACTATGATTCCTACAAAATTGATTCATAAAGAACGAAATGTATCTACCGTCTTATAGGGGGATTTACTGTATATCTACCATAACATATTTTCTGAGGTTTATTCTCAGTTCAAATGATTAAAACTTTAGAACTGTGAAAGTTGCATTATGTTTTATTTGCTTAATGTTTAGTGTACAGTACATATAACAATATAGTACATCTATATATATATTTTTTTATTTAATATCGACATTAGTAGCATATACAATCGAACAAACAATAATGGCCACCGAACATAATAGTCACCTGTAAATAAATTCTTAGTAATTTACCAGTAAGTAAGAAACTGCCATCAAACAATTGTCATGTTACATTGCTGTCAGTGTCCATTGTACAGAGATTATACTGTGTTTTCAATTAAAACTTTATTAGATTATACACTTTAACATAAATTACAAACGTATCATGCATTTCTATTTAGAGTAACAATATTTGAGACTATTTTTTACGTCTAAGTTTTATACAAATGCTAATAAATAGCTTGGCTTACATATATCTTTTAAAAATTTTTATATTATTATTATAATATTTGATATAGTATATTTATTGAATGATGTATGGTTTATGAGTTACTGTAAAATTTGCTTTAAAAACTGTGAAAGATGCGGAGTTTTTATTTTCCTGTATGTTTACTCTGACTGTATAAACAGTTGAAGACAATACAGTTTAGGGCTCTAATTTATTAAGATTACATAGCTGTTCATTGATATTAGAAGAGAGTATTAATATTCTGAAGCATCTGTAAAAGTGAGTTCTACTGTAAACGTTTTTCACATCGTAAAATACAAATTTATATTTTCCTAGTAAATCCTGAATATTTTATTCTTTATGATAATTTGTCATAGACTATAGAGTGCACGAATGAATAATAACTTTGAAAAATTTGTACGTGATCCTGTAGGCAATAATCTGTTATCTCAATTATTCNAATATATTGTGATCTATCATATGCTTTTGTGTTTCGTGAAAAGATTAATCATATGAAATATTTCTGTATTCCGTTTAACTTAGTTTTCTTTTTGTGAATAACTCTGCATTTCAGTTCATTGCAAAGAACAATTAGTCGTGTCGTCCATTGCCTTTAGGCGAACTTAAGCCTATATATATTAGAAAATATGATAGGTATAGCGCATTTTTCGCTAATCCGACCATTCCATTCCGGTGGCAGATATAGTCGGATTAGTGAAATTCTAATGTGTATGTCTTAGTTCGGATTTCTTCACTAATATCATTTTTTTCCATATAATTGATGTTAAGTTTTCGTACATTATATTTTATAATTACCTTTGATAAAACTGATGTAAATATTATGATCAAAATTAAAAGTTTTCAGTTCTCATATTTAAATTTATAAGAGTTTTAACCACTATCTATATAACAGCATATGAAAAATTAAAAAAGTGTTCAAAGTGATGGATGAACAATTTTTTTCTTCAAATCTTACCAAATACATATATCATGGGCATTGCCATGAGTAATTTACGTGCAATTTGATTGTGTATTGTTGAACGTTGCTGTTTTTGTATTTTGTAAGTAATATTGTTTGAAATAGTAAAATATAATGAAAAAATTCAAAAAATAGGAAACAGAATTAGCAACTAGATTAATATTACATAAATTTAGAAATGCGTTTGAAAATTATTGATAGGTTTCACTCTTGATTTCTTTCTTGCAATGTTTTTAATCTTGTTTACGAGAATTTCTGTAACAAATACTACAAAAGCGATTAAATATCCTGCACCTAGTAAGTACAATGGACCCATAATATCACCCATTTCCGGTACTTCTTTTTTATTTGTATCAATTGGTTCGTGTTTGTAGAAAAGATCTTTTCTTGTTGCTTTATGAAGTAGAGTTCTGCGAATTTTCTCGGGTAACCCACTTTGTTGAACAAGATTCACCCTGTTAAATATAATTATATGTTAATAATTTGTGTCTATAGTGTACTAGTAATTTTGATATATAATACATTATAAATATATGTGTTATTTAATTTATACAAATTTATTTTAACAAAGTAATTCTTGAGAGTTGTAAATGCTGTAGTCTTCAGTTACATTATTTATGAAATGAAAGCTTTAAATAAAATATTTATCATTGATCGTAGACTAACTATATACTATATTAAATTTGTATTCACTTTGGACATTCTTGTGGACTAAAACTTCCAATGTCGACGCAAGTATAATATATATACAGTAATTATAGATAAGAAGCATATATCAAAATAACTCTATACCATATTATCAATTTACAACACAATGCCTTGCACACTTTAGTGTAAGTTTCTATCTTCAGCAATGCTATATGATATTTAACATAGATGTATGATCAAAATATAACAATTACATCTGTACAAATACAAATATATAATACAAATACATCTGTGTTAATTAGTAAAGCTAATGTAATAAAATACTATAATATGTATTCAGAATATACTCATACATTTCAGTGTGTTAAATGTGGTTTATATAATGCTGTTTCAGAAATTTCAAAGTACAGGATCCGAAACGATAAACTTTTTTAAAAGCGGTCGACAAAGAAAAATTTCCGTAAGAAATTGTTAATTAAAAATTTAACTAACAACACATAATACAGCATATTTACTAAACACACCCAAAACAAATAAGATAAAACTGAAAACATAGGTGCCTTATGCGAGAGCCGAAGCAAGCATTCCAAGATAGAGTCATTTAAAGTATGAAGCCTCAATGTATTGGAACGATGTATGTTCTATCAACAGTTCAGCAGTAACCAATGGCCGGGCTGGTAAAACTACTAAACACTAATAGTTGGCTGTGGCTTTGCAACTGGTAAAAAGGATGCCGGTTGTTTATTACATAGTTGTTTATTACGTTTTAAAGCATTTTATCTCGTGTGTAATACTTAAATAGAAGATAATTTCCCATAGGAAAAAAAGGTAGAAAGTTTATTTGTGAATGAACTTCCTACCTTTTTTATGTGCAGATTTTAATTTTATTGTAGTGTTACAATAATTTTTTTCTAGTTTTTTTACTAGAAATTTTGTTCTGTTTTTATTGAATCAATCATCACATAATAGATCGATAGAATTTCTTCTTGGGAAGTAATTCGAAATCAGTAAAATGAAAACAGATCGGTTTGTATATATTTAAGACTATGCTACAGCGGCACGTAAAACAGGCATACTTTAATGCATATTTTGGTCACTCGACACAAAAAAACTTAATAAAATGGTAAGTTTTTCCTTTTAATTTAAACTTTTTAAGCATATTACTTAAAGCATGTACTCGAACTACAGAGTATTTTCAGATAAAGTCCAAAAATGTGTTCACTTGCTGTGTATGGCAGATGCAACTCCAAAGACATCTATCGTATACGTTCCTTGGCTAGGCAATAAAAACTAGAATTATGAGCTTTCGTAGAGTATAGTTGTGGCCAATATAATGTGTGGTTTCAATTATGACCTTGTTTGCTCAAACGTGCATTATCAACGCATTATTCATTCGTATTTAGTTGTCATCCTGAGACCATGAACGTTGCTCCACGGTGAGTGCAATTTGCAGTTTTGTCGCGTAATAAAACTCCCAACTTAAACTTCCTCCATTCATTATTGATATGGCATGCAACTAATATGTTTATAACAACGGTGTTCACGTTAATCCTATTTTAAACGATAATCTTGTAAAATTGTAATTTTTTCAAACCTTTTTGATACAATTATGTCTTATAATTTTAGAAATTATTTATTTATCTAATTTGGTATTGTGTAATTCAGTGGTTTTCAACAGGGGTCTATGTGACATTACATTCTAAATTATATAAAATTTTCAATTGTTTTTTTAATTTAAATAATATAACAAAATAGTATTTCAGTAAGGATATATTTACTTTATATTAATATTTTATTGAATGACGCTGATCCCGTACGAAGTTTACGAACTAAACTTCGTCGCATTTTTTCCATAATGTTTTCCTACCCAATTATTGGCATGAAGTCTGTGAAATAACAGCACATGTTTTGCTTAAGGAATTTCGAAATTCATATGTTGTCTAGTTCTAGATAACCAACAGAGTGGTTAATTCCAAATTAAAGGTTTGTTAATAGACATTTTAAATTGAACTGAAGAAAAAAGAAAACTGAACAAGTGAATGGCCTTTTGAGATGAGGTGAAACCTGCGAAAATTTTGTATGGGAAACTGCTCCGAAGTTATTTAGATGTTAGATATTCCAACATATCTAACACGTAAATAGAGTGAACCTGATCGTGTGGTAGGAACTCGCAACTAGCTACATTATTCAGTGGTTTTACCTATTTTGCACAAGTCAGAGATAAAAAAGACATTTGCTGTACTTACGTTTTGGCGATTTCAACAGCATAATTAACTCTGGCTAAATTCATTTGTATAAAACTGAATTTTGTAAAAAGGTCGTCTTTCGAAACGAAGAACTTTTCCTTTCCCCATTTGGATATGCTCAATTCAATCCTATGTCTTGATGCCAGGAGAGCGTAAGTTCCTTTAAGTACTTTTTCAACTTGTTTGTTGCAGGACTCGTTGTACTTGATAATATTTTTATAAAAGACTTCGGTAACATTATTTTTAATAATTGACTTCGGGATATACTTCTACAAATATATAAATAAAGTCTATTAATGTAACGTAACAGAAAATTAATAAATATTAATTAGAAAAGTATACATAGTGTTTCAATATTAATACATAGGAAGTGACTCATGACTGCTTAGATAAAAAGTGTATAAAAGTATTATATTACAATTATTTTCAAGATATAATTATTGCTATTACGGATTAACTGTATTTGGTAATCACAGCAGAAATATGTTTTGCAGGTAATATGGTCGGAATAAGATTCAGTTTGTGCCATGTGTATTGTATGAATTATTTTCCCATTTACACTGTACACAAGTATTTGATATCCGCTCAAAGTAGTATTTCCTTTCTTAGTCTTAATTTTTTTCAATATAGACTATGCCAAAATATCTGATATAATAAGAATTGACATGTTTAAAAATACCCCTGCCTATGACAACAATATTGTTATATACAGGGCCACGTAAAGTCTGTTTGACTCGCGAATAATATTATTTAAATGAATCGTCTTGTTTCAAATTCTGCGGTATTGTCACTTCATAATCTTAAGAAATAAGGTTTCACTTCGTGTATTTTAATAATATATTTCTAATCGACTTTAAAAATATTTAGTACGTTAAACATATAACTAAATATGTGTAATAGACAATACATACTTGGTAAGGACATCGATCAAAATAACGGCATTCATCGCTTAATTCGAAGAAAGTGATGTTGTATCGTCCGTCTATAACAGATTGAGTCAATTCTTCAATAGTTTCAGGAATGGTTTCGGTTCCTGGATTAACAATATAAGATGGCAGAATGCCAACATATGCTGATGTTAGAACAAATGCAATAAGGATCGAACAGCCGATTAGGATACGAAACGTATTGAGAAAACAACGATTTATTTTTGTATCTAAAAAATAAAAAATAATGTGAAAGTGAGACGTTAGTATAATATTAATCACAACAAAATTAATGGGCCGAAAACATAACGTTCTATAGCGCAGGAGAAAAGATACTCCCGACATTAATTTTCATTGTCTGATTTTGTAGTAATTGAAGCAATATTTTATATCATTGCTCATATAAAATTTTTGCACTAATATGTAATATATTTTAATTATTTTATGAATTATTTTGTCTAGGAAAATACACATTCTGTAGAGTACAAGAATACCAACCTTGTCGAAGAAAGTTTCTCAATAATATCCAAAATAATGTAGATAACTTTGGCTTTTTCTCGTTGTCATACTCAGATTCTTTATTCATTGCAACATACAGAGTTGATAGAAGAATAACGAATGAAATAAAAATAAATATCCAAACCTGAAACGTAACAATTAATAATTATTTTTTAGTTTTCAAAATTATATAATTTTTATAATACAGTAAAATCTCTAATTATGAACACTGTAAACATCAATTAAATATTAAGAAGCGTTCTTCTGTACATAAAATAACCCCAAATTTAAAGGAATATCTGTAAAACAATAAGTTTATATTTTTGCCTAAGTGGACGTACTCGAGAAAGTTTAATTTGACAATATAACTTGACAAGAAATAATTTATTTGTAGGTGTTTAGTATACATAACAGTTAGGAAAGTATTAATTTTAGTTAATAGATACAAAAGATAAACAATTTTTTAATATTACCATTTTATTAAAAGGTTTAATTAAAGAAACTGCTTTTGGTAAAGGTCTTGCAGCACTTATTGTAAATGTAGTTGAAGTGTCAATTATAGAAGAAGAATAGGACATATAACTTTTTCTTATAGGACCGCCGATAATGGCGATGTCTGACTATTAAATAAATTAAATTTATTAAAATATATTCTGTAGCAATATAATCGCTAAATATATTTCTTACCGTTCTTAACCAAACTGTCATTTGAAACCTAAAACAAAAGAAGTAAATTGTATTTAACATATCTAGTATGATTTAGTAATACCGTAAAGAAAACGTACGTAATACCAAGGACATGTTGTAATAGCTTGATGTATTTTGTAACAAATGTCTCTTTTTCATCCGATTTTTCAATCCAGTCGCGCTAAAAAAACAAATTATGATTACGTTATAATTTACAACATTTTTTTTGTAGATTTATGTTTTAAATTTCTTACGAATGTTTAATGTATCTGATTTGAAAAGAATTACAAAACAAATATATTTTGTAAAATAAATTATTTTTGAATTTGGAAAATAATTTTCTAAGAATTTTCGAAAGAACGTTGTTGTTGTTTTCTGTGTGTATAAGAAAGGTTACATTATTTGTAAAGTTAATTAATATGTAATTGTGTGATTTATTAATTTGTTCAATATAGTTCGTTATTGTTAAGAAGAGGATCATCTGAAGTAATCGTATAACCACAAACAATGAAATAAGCATTATTATTTTATTAGTATAAATATTATAAAAAAATTTTATAATATAAATGTTTTAAAATAGGCTCTCTAGTATTATTATTTATCCAGTGTCTTGTACACAGACTGTCACACATTCAGTTTGTTTCAACGGAGTGACAGCACAGCACATAAATTATCTGATTTTTCGAGCAATTTTCAATTAACAATTTATGATAGAAATACACAGTACCTTTTCATTAACATGACTAAAGCTAAAAACTCGATTTATCTTTATTTATTATACAAAACAACTACTAAACATATTATAAAGCTTGGAACTTAGCAAATATACAGAATACAGACTAATTTAATTTGATTCAATGAAATTTAGGTAATGAATAACAGAAAGTTGTGAAACATTGACGGCATACAAAATTTCACAATACCGGTAAATATGTGCATTGTATTTGAATTTAATGTCACTTTTACTGTAATCTCAAACGGTATTAAAACTTCCAATTTTTTCAGGGCTATTAAAGTTATGAGAGACTATAGAATGCATAAACATCTTTTTCAACGTTAAGAGATAGAACAGCAGTATAAAAAAAAGAAGACAATTATGTCCGGTTAACAGATGTTGTGCAGTAGCTCGGAATAATCCGAATTCTAATTTGACCAAGCGACTCAGTAATTCTTTATCAGCGATTTGTCCCGAATACGTTAGACCTATCACTCAGTACTTATCTGCTCTCATTGCCAGTTGGACAACTCCAAGACTGACAAAGAAGCAATGGTTTTTTTAGTACCTGCAGGCCAAGGAAAAAGCCAAGCAATAGAATGAATGAAATAAAATGAGAAAATGAATTTAAATTCAAATTGTTTCGGGTGACAGCTGAGAATGTAACAATGCCGAAATATGATGTGATGTAGAAGTATTAAAAATTCAGATATTTAACTCACTGAGTTTGTGTAATAGGTTTTATAAATGACAACTTAAATAAAATGTTTACGTAAAGTAACGAAAGATGTAACATTGAATTACGAACATAAGAAGAAATTTACTTTATTTTCTACTTTAAGTATTATAAGATTATACAGAAATAATTCTGAAATATTTAAAAATTAAAATGACAAAAATGTTTAGGATCACTCATACTTACTAATTCTACACCAAATATGATCCGTTGTGGTTTTAACATTTCGTATTCAGTTATTACTCTTCTATTGTAAACTTTACAAGAAGTGAGTTCATAATTGCTGCAACTAAAACAGTCAATAATTATAACAATATAAGTATATAAGTAAAAATTACGTTAATTATAATAACTACTGTATTATTTGCATTAAAATACGCTAATAATATATTAATTTATATTAAAGCAAGTTTAGCAGATTCGTTATCAAATCTGAAAAATTTTAAAACTTCCGGATAATTTCTGAGTGGGTTTGTCTTTGATATGTAAGGCCTCGCCTCATCACTCATCTCTTTCTATTGATGCGTTGTCAAACACATGACAAGGCCTGGAAAAAGGCGCTTTTAATACTCATAAGATAACAGTAATTTTTCAAAACACACATATGCTTAATATTACAAGAATCGAATCAAAAATATAACAAGGAGAAAATATTCAAAATGGCTTGGCTTACCTGTGTAAAAGAAAACAATAGGAACTGCAAAACGTGGTCATTATTTCTTGGAAATTAAATACGTTCCCGATAAACTTTTACAGGCACAATTCTTATGCATTTAGTTTCTGACACTTTTAAGAAAAGTCAGTCAGTTTGTAGAAAGCAAATTGATTTATGTATAAAGTAGAAACATTGTAGAAACTGATGATAAAGTTCGTACATAAAATTAACTGTAACTATATTGTCTAAGAAGACCAATTTAGAAAACAAAAAAGTTTGTGGTTTACACAGAAATGTAGTTAATTTACAGATAGTGGAAAAAAACAGGGTATAAAACATAAAAGATAGCGGAGTAAACACACCAAAATCTATAACTGCATGAGACTACAGTTGATGAGCCAGAAAGGAAGCCAAATGAAGAAAATCATTTTTTCTATTTGGAAGTGAAGTGATAATAGTTTATAAAGTATTAGATAATAGAAGCATTATCGTGTTTCAGTAATTATAGAAAAATCACACTAATCATCAAGTAGTTTTGAAATAAATACAAATATATTGTGGAGAGATTAAACTTATTAGAAATTTGTAAATATAAAATTTTATTTATTGAAACGATTCGATACTATGAAAAGAGTTGAGCCAGTTACTTTAAGTACAACTGTACGAGTGGACAGCAGTCTACGAAGAAGTAAAGATATATTAAAATATATGAAACATAAAAATACTTACATAAATTAAGGAATACTAACATCATACCATGATACATCGAAAGAGGACTTACTAGTGGACAAGTGTAAAAAAGAGTACTTGTATTCCAGTGGATGAAACCAATAAACACTAGTAGGCGGTGATGGGTTATACCTCATTGATAGACTAGTTGAACGAAGATTTTCAAATTTTCTTCAAACATTTAACACATTAGGGCAAGTTTTCCATGGAAACTCCTCACGAGAATCTTTTCTTCTTGACAGATTACCCATGTGTTATTTTGCTTGAGTTCAACTACTCTTACAATCTTATACAGGTTAGCCACGATAACATTCTGGAGACCGAGAATCGAATACACAGGAACCATCACAGGATATTTTAATGGGTCTCTGATAAATCCAATCTTACCCTATTCACACAATAAGTCAGGGTATTTTCACAAATATATTTAAATCTCATAGTGCTTGGTTTAGTTTTATAATCGACAACAGCTTAATACATCTGCAATTTGTCAAAAAAGCTATCTTGAAGCAGGACTTTCTACAAGAAACAGTCCTTACTTAGGTGTTGTGTGTGTGAAAAAACCTCATAAACACTATGTGGCTAGAAGGAACTGAGGTGAGTGAGTACCCATGACTAGTGTTACGTGGTAATTAGTTAGTAAACCTCAACTGATTGATAAATTTAAATAATAACAGTTGAACAACACATGTTTATAATATATAAAATCGATTAATATTTAAACAAACTAAAATTCTAAAAATTATATAAAAGATATTAAGTATAAATATTTAAAACAGTTTAGGGAAATTAATAATAATAACGTAAAAGCCATATGTAATATTGATTACTTACAATCTTAACAGCATTTATTTCTACTTCTATAAAAGAAGAGTTTTTGACAACTTCAGTAAATGCAAAATGACGATCCCCGGAATCATAAAACAAACTCACTTCATTTCGATAACGAATACGCTCTTTCACCACATGCACAATATGTTCTTTCTGAATGAATTCCCCTGGAATCATTTCTGAAAATTACACATATATTTATTTTATAAGTATTTTCCATTAAGGGATTTACGATTTATCTTTCCCAAAAACATTTAATACTGAGTGTGATTTCATCTGTTATGATAGCTTATTAACAACACTTTTTATATTTTTAATTATTATAGAATAGAAAAAGGCTTGGTTCTGAGGAAGAAATGGTTTTTATAATAAATTGTTAATGCCATTAATTAATGAGTAAAATTGCCAGTAAGTCCCACCGTACTGGAGATATGCATATGACTCCCTTATATCTTTTCATCGCGTTTCCCTTTAACAACCGAAATTTAATAGCATGAATACCTCAAACCCACAACCCTCCCTGCAGTATTTCAGAAATTTTTTACAAAAAACATAGAATGTAATAAATCTGAAAAAAAGTGAAGAAACTCGTGTATAACATATAGTATGCTGTACTACTTGTATAACATGCAAACTTGAAGAATGTATATACAGTATACATTTTTACTAGTACGACCCATCACAGTTATCTTGTATATATAAGAGT